TCGGATTTTGTCAACATCAATAAAATGCCATATAATCATACGTAACTCATTAAATATTGAAATTAGAAGAAGAATGCACTATTTTTAATTATAGGAAATGCGTTTTTCTAAGGTACATAAACTTTTGGGATTGACTGTATAGCTAATACATCCTTAAATGATCATTGCGTGTAATAAACACGTGCGTACCGGAATTTGAATCTCGGATCGTAAATAAGTAACATTGGAAGGTACTTGGATGGTACGTGGTTAATCAACGTAAAAGCACTGAGCGAATACTTTGATTGGTCGCTCGCAGGGGATCGGGTGTCTTACCGTCGACGAAGCATGGTAATGGGCGACGAGTAAATACGGCATGGTGAACAACGTCGAGTACATAACGCCCGCCGTCCAAGAGAATATGATCACTCCCGCGGGGTGCTTTGTCAACGCCATCATCATCATCCCGGTGCTATAGAACAATAGGCCGCAGACGTACACCCTCCGTGCTCTGTCGAACCGAACCACCGCTTTATGCTCCTCTCGTTCGTCTAGCGCGGCCAACGAACAAACCAACGAAATTTGCGACCGCGACCGATCGAACCGCAGATCTCATATGCGCCCAGACGCGTCCGAGAACACGCGTCGCATAGAAATGTGCGGTTCGTCGTCGTTAACCGAATGAATTACTTGTAACGTTCGATGAGTCTCTCGATGATCATCGAGTAACAGGAACAGGACAACGAGTACATGGACATTCCCCAGCAGCCGAACCGTACACCGCTCTCGTACAACTCCCTTTCTTTGGAACCCTCCGGCGCCTGTGGTTCGCAAAACGGCAAAGTTACTCCGACGACTACTCTACCTGTGCACGCAGTAAGCTGTCGCCTGACCTGTGGATCGCCACCGTAAACGGCCTCGCCGACGAAATCCGTGAAGTACAGGGAGTAACAGACGTGCGCCATCCAGCAGAACAAATTGGTCAGGCAGACTACGCGTAGACTGTGTGGCATGTAAACGATCGAGAGGAGATACTCCATCAACGTAGTCCTCGGATCGTCTCCGACGTTCTCTCCGAGACCTGGCTGGTCGTGGACGGGCACGTCCGGTACCATGGGTACCTGGCCGGCCCTCTTCTCCGTGTCCTGAACCGGCAGAGGCTTCAGAACGAATTCCTGTCGGACGGAACCCTCGTTTTACTCCCGGAGGAACCGGCGATGAAACTCTACTTTGCACGACTCACGTCTCGTCCGGCCTCGGCCTCCTCGTTCAACGTGCCGTAGGAGGCATACTCGCCGGCACTAATTTTCTCGTTCTCCTTCTGCTCGTCCTCTCCTTTTCTCTCGGCGGACGCCTGGATCAATTCGAAATACAGACAGAGAGAGAGAGAGAGAGAGAGAGAGAGAGAGAAAGGAGGGAACGGACCGGAGAATCGTGCCGTTTAAACGAGCCAACGAACCTTCCGTTCCTGCGACTGTCGACGCTCGTCCCTCTCCAACAGTTCCAATGGTATCTCCTTGAAACTGGTCAACGTACAAGACACGCAAACGACGAAGATGATCGTGATCAACGTGAACGTCGCGTGGAGGTGTCCACCGAGCGCGACTCCGATCGCGGTCGCGTCCCAATTGATACCACCGAGACCGTATCCCATGAAACCGCCCAAACCCGCCATTACGGTGAACGTGCTCAACCCTTTGGCGTGATCATCTACAAATCACAACGAGACCCCCTGATCAGAGTTCGATCGACGACGACCTTCCTCGAGTTCGGACCGAGACGAAGCATTTTGCATAAAAAAATCTACGCGAGCGGCCCGTGTTCGTCGTTCACTTGCCCGGTGTGGTGACGTCGAGCAGATAAGCCCTGGCCGGGCTCTGGCAAGCGTCTGCGTCGAAATCGAGAAGCACCGTGCCCAGAATCGTGAAGAAGATTCCCCAAGGGTGAGACGGCGGTCTCGCTGCTGTCTCCTCTCTCGCTTGTTTCGCGGTAGTTCTGTGTCCCGACGGCATCGTAAAATTCTTCCAAGTAGTAGCTGCCACGTCCCCGAAGGCGTATCCCATGTCCTCGCCGTTTGGGACCAGTATCAGCCCTTCGAAAAGATTAGGAATACACATCGACTCTCGACCAAAGGCGACCGAACGAATATCGGCAGACGGGTCGGATATTGGAAACTCTGATCGATATCGGAACTGGAACGACGGTAGAACAGGTGGAACGCTCGAAATTACCGATCAACACTCCGAGAGCCAACAACGCGATGAACGGTCTCCTCCTCCCGTATTTGGACCTGCATCTGTCGCTCAGACTACCCAAGATCGGCGTGACGAAGAATCCGATCAGAGGACTCAACGCCCAGACGAGTGTCATGCGTTGATGGTCCACTCCGATCTTCAACAACGTCGGCGAGACGAATGCAGTTTCCGCGGCGTACGAGAATTCGATTCCCATGACCGCCGCCGACACGCGGACCAGTTCCCCTCGCGTCTTTCTCCTAGAAAGCATACACGTACGTCGTCATCGGCGGATTACTTGGTAACGTCTCGCTTTTAGCTGGTGGACGTGCGACGGAACGATGTATCATTATGAATACAACGATAATCGAACGAACGACGAATATACCTATAGACGTGTTCGTAATCCTCCAACGTCCTCTCCAATTTCGGGGGGCCCCGCAGATGACCGAGGATCCCCGCTATCCCCTGGTCCATCGGTATTCCATTTTTCCACTCCTTCCACGTTTCCCATTTCTCCTTGAACTTGTCACGAACGTCGTGCACCCTCCCAGCGAACCCCTCGTACTCGTGAAGTTTGTCCACCATGGCGATCGACGATTTTCAAACAGTTTCTCAATCGAAAGTTCTGTCCGTCATTCCGTCGCGTAAAGTGAATCGGTCGAATTTCCAAACCACGGCCCTCGTGGAAAAATTTCCCTCTGTATGAATTCGGAAAGCAGCCGGAAGAATGTCAACGCGACGTGCGCGTTCGTCGGTTCATTGCGCTCGACTGAGCGGCTGAGCGGGAACGGAGAGCGCGAAACAGACGCGACGAGGGTGCAACGACGGGGGTGTGTTTCGACGACGGTACGCGAGGGACGACTGAGCTCGCGTCAAGACGAAAGCTCGACCGACGTCGCCTTCCACCGTGGACGACGCACACCTACTCAGGTAGCTACGTGTGTATTTCCCGGTCCCGGTCGGACGTAGAACCAGCGGAACGAGCCCCGTTTCGTATCGAGAGAAACTCGCGGTCGCTCATCGTTGCCACCGATGAGAAAGTCTGCTCGAGACGCGAGAGATCTTTTCGGACGATAGATCTGAGAAGCTGGCGAAGCTGCTCGTTTCCTTTCATACGCGAAACGCAAAACTTGGATCGGTTCGTTCGAGAAATTCGTACGTTTGCAATTTACGCATACTATCATCTCGTTTGGTAGAGCGAGCGCTCGATAAAAATAATTAACAGCGACAGTAGCCGTCCTCTGTGCGACTGTTGGACTCTAATAAAAATGTTTACGCGTGCGGACACGCGGTAGGCTCTCCGACAATGGTTTCCTCCGCCGCTGGCTCGTAGACGTAATTTCCGCGGCGGAAATTACGCTTTGTCGATTTTCTCTTTTCCAGCAGGATTTTCGATTCGATTTCACCGTCGAAGGCTGCTCCATATTCCAGACTCATTGTTACCGTAACACCACCTTCCCCGGACGTACGTACGTACGTACGTAGAAGGATCTCAGTGATATTAAAATCTTTGCCGACTTTCATTTCATACCGTCTGGTCTGGTGTGAGTAATTACCGCGTCGATTCGTCGATCTCTGTTCGTAACTGTGCGTCAGGGAACGTGACTGCTACCAGAAAACGTGTCGCGCACCGGCGAACCTTTGTAAGTGTATCGAGCCATCGCATTAGGCGAGAACGAAGTCTTACAAAGTAGGTCTGTCTTGTTGCGTATGTGGCCTTGGTGCGAGCTCTGTCAGAGCTTACCGCACGGCAATATACTCGCCGATATAATTCACTTGGTTCACAGTTTTCCGAGCTAAGTTTCTTCCGTCCCTTTTGTCTCGCCATCAGTTCTCGTTCACAGAAAAACGATCCGCCATTTACGGAGCTCGTGACGCATAGATCGGTACAGTTTCTAATTCTCTATTCTATTTCGATTCTCGTTGCTAACTCGAGAACGATCAATGCCGAGCCGATCTGTCTACGATTTAATTAACGTTCCGTCCCATCGGATGGACGGCCAACAGACGTCGTCGCGCGTCGTACTGTCGATTCGCGTGTCGTAAAAAACTGATTAAACAGTCCGTTAGGCAACGATCTTTATTTGCAAGCGCGGCCAAAAACGGCCGACTATGAAAAAGGACGTACGTACGGGGTCGATTGGCGCCGGGGTCGATTTCCATACCTCCTGCACCTTACAATCTCACTTACAATCGAAACTTATCGACGAAAGAAAAGGTTCGCGCGATCGGGCTCGAGTACTTAATCTTGGTCAGAGGCACTAACAGTAAGTAAGTATTGTCGCTGACCAAGTTCTTCTCGATCGAACGATCGATCTTCGAACCAAGGGAAAGACCTTTGCTGATCACCGTCGTCATCGTGATTTCTCGTGGGTATTGTTATTTCCCGGGACGGTTAATAAAGGTGAATCATCTTTTCCAATCCGATTATTCTATCGAATCCTGGCCGAGTCTCCAGACCGATAACGACGCGAACCAACATCTCGTTTGTTTGTTCTCGGAAATATGAAAATATTACACGTACGAATAAATTAGTTTTAAACGAGAGATGAGCAACTAATTCGATTTCGCGAGCGAATCAGAGTTCGAGTGTTTCCTTCTAAAATCTCCGTACGACGGCTGGCTCAATAAAATAAATTTCACGACGATCGTCCCGCCGTTGATCCCTATTGGATCTACACTATCTAAACTTTATTGGTCCTGTTTACCGTATCGTTCTTCTAATACTTACGCTAGCGATCTTGTTTTCTATCTCACAAAAATACGATACGTTTCCCACGATCCGATCGTTCACCGACTATAGTCAGCGACGCTACAGTTTGAAATTTGCGACTAACGCTAGAATTACCGGCGATTGACGTATGCCTACTTTTATCGGAGGGGTAAAAATGACTTTTTTTTTTTTTCAAACTGATAAGTCCTATCAAGCAATTTTTTCCTATTTAGCAATTTTTACGTTCGTACCAGTGAAAATTGATTGTAAAATAAACTGATCATGATGATAATGATAATTTTCAAAATAATTACGGTTTTAACTCTACGATCAAACGACCGGGGTGAAAACGAGCATCTGGCCTGACGAGCAGATCGATATCGATGATCGAATCGCGCTTAATCCGAACCAGCAACGTGTTCTGTACGTTCGATGCGCGCGAGCAATTTTCCAAATCTGTTATTCTACTAGAAAACGACGGGCTTCCCGGGGTACCTTATTTTTCATATCGTTTGCGCAGCTATCGATACGGCTAATTCAATAATACTTAATTCGTTCTGACGTTCGTTTATGATGTCAACCGATCTAAAAATACGACGAATTAAAATCGATCAAGACGCATAGAGACCGGCGGACATTCATCGCGGCAATTGACGTGAAAACAAAAATTCTAATGGGATTCCGCCGGCGAACCGAAATTGATCGAACTCGAACACGGAACCCGAACACGGAAAGGGAGAAACTTGGCTTTCTGTTCATTCTGTCGAACGTACAGTTAGGACCGGCAGTCGAACGAAGCAATTTTCCCCTTGCATTGTCACGAATCGCCACAAGGAACATTGTTTCGATTCAATTTTCATTCCTCGACCGAATTAATTACGAGACTGCTGATCTCCTCGGAAGAGATTAAACTGTTTTGTCAGCGATAATTGTCACCGGTGTTGTTCGTTTTCAACGTACTCATCTGTCCACTTGACCCTTTCGTAATCGACGCAATTGCTGGAATTACGTCGCGTAACAACAGTCAGAAAAAAAGAAGGAGCGTCGAGACGATTAGTAATTAGTCGACTGGCTGACGTTTATTAGGAGAAATGCTAAATTCCGTCGCTTTAGAACCTCTCGAAGGCCTCAAATTTCGGTGTCCATTCCCAACGTACATGTTTGCGTAAAACTCCCGTTAAAGGACGACACATTATCTGTTTCCGCGGCGCGCTACTCTCCCGATTCTTTTCTACCTGTACCCTTTTCCCTCTGTTATCTCCGCTTTCGCTCGTTCGAACTAGGACAATTTTCCCGAAAATGAAAACGAGTAGCAGGACAGTATGTACCTGTGATATACATTTTTTATATCATTCGGCCAGCCTATCGACGGCCTGTCGTCGATACGGTGTCAGTATACAAAATCTGAGAATTCCAACACTGCCTATAATTCGTTTCAAACGCAACGATTCGAAGAGAAGGAAGTCTAGTTGGAAGCGGATAAAACGCGAGAGAAATAAGTCAAGTTGGAACGAAGACAGTACGAATTTCGCGCCACTTTGCATAAACAAATAAGTTGTTGTCGTTGTTGTTCGTGTTCCTGTTTGTCGTTTCGCTGCAACGCTGACACCCGTACGAAAATAAGTCGCTCGTGGCATCGGTCTTGGACGCCTGACAAAAATCATTGTCAGAAATGCGTGAGAAGGCGAACCGACGACGCGTCTGTCTGGTTATCAGCTTAATTGCTTATCACGATCGATAAGGCCGTGTCGTAACATCGACTAATTAAACTTCAACCCAATTAAACGTGATTTATATTTATGAAACGCGTGTCTAAGTCCCGCGAGCAGGCGGGCTTAACAGATAGATTTATCATGTGTGGCTAGATCGAAAACAGAGTTCTGGCACAAGATCTTTTGCAGATACCGCGGGATGACCAACTTATTTATCGTAGACGCGAAACATTCGAGGCGTGTTCGTATTGAAATTTTATTTTGTCCGAGTGACCACGACCCGTTTACTGTCCCCGACCATCGGGACGGGTGTCCCGAATGAAAAACGAACGAGGAAACGATCCAGGATGCAATTTGTTGATTCAATGTACTTATACGGCTAACTCGATCACGCGTTGTGCTTTTTTCTCATACGCGCCGCGGACAGGTTTCGTGCCCCGGCTTGTCCGTTGCCTCCTACAAATTGATAACGGCCCGGATCTCGTGCGTTCACCACGCTAACAAAATTCTATGTCCGTCTGTTGAAAATCTTGCAGAAAAATCGTTTCCATCGTAATTATTAATTGCCCGGTTCGGGCGAAATTTCCGTAGGAGAACCGTCGCGTCACGTTTCACGGCGTCAAGGCCTCGCCAGACAGAACAGTTTTGGAGAGCGTATTGTCCGACGAGGGAAACCGTTGGCTCGTTGACGCGTCGCTGATCGTGACGAGGGAAACGATAGGAAGAGAAGCTCGGTCCGGAGCAGTAGTAGCAGCAGCAGCAGCAGCAGCAGCAGCAGCAGGTTTATTCGGTATCGTTTGAGCCGAGGAGGCGCAGTCGGTCGGCCGATCCCGCAGAGAGCGAGACTCCGACGTCGAGCGTCGCGTCGCGTCGGGCAAGGCCGCTATCGCGTTCTCACTTACACTTGCTCGCGTGTAAAACGAACGAACCAAAGCGGGAGGATCGGCGACGGCGCAACACGGTATGCGTTAGTTTTGCGCGCGTACGATGTCGGGCGATATCGCTCGATTCGAGAGCGAGCCGGCTGCCGCCGCCTCAGAGCCGCTAGTCTCCGAAGCCATCTCCACGTTTCAAGGTATCTCTGCCATTCTTCGACCCGACCAAATTCCACCCGAATCGATCCATTTTTTATTGACCGGTCGCACGCGACCACTCGGTTCACGTGTACACACATACACCTCGTCCGACCAAGTTCACGGTGACGAGTAGAACGTGCTTGGACCGTATCGCCGACGCCGACGCCGACCCCGACGTTTAGGGGTTGCGTCTTCGACGACGTTTCGTCCGTCTCGTTACGCAGTGACAATCGTATGCCATACATCGTATGCCGTAAAACGGTCGAACGTCATCGGCGATACATGGAACCTTGGAGAGTGCGTCGAGTGGAAAAGTTCGCCTTCGCGATTCGCGATACGTACGACCAGCGGTACGAGACAAGGGATTAATTGCATAGGACTTTGCCACGATAAATATTCGAACGATACCGTGGCCAGCGTATGTCAGCTCCACATTCGCGTCCTACGAGTTTACATAAGCATGCTTTTAAGACAATGTGATAAAAATTCTATTATTGTTTCAAAAAGTGAAACGTTATCGTGCTAGAATAATAATTACTCGCGGTGGCTCGCTAACAACCAAGCCGACTCATCGTTGTTGGCACTGATCTCGTACTAAATTGGTCAGAAGGTTCTAGAGGCTCCAGATAACAGACCGAACGGCGACAGTCGACGATCCACCACGCCGAAACCTATCTCGAACTTGACCCAGACTCGACGACGCCGAACGTGTTCCACTCGAATCTGACAATCGAACCTCACCTAAAATCGCATCCGACGATCGCACGCCGAGAACCCGAGACTTACTGTCCGACTGAAACTGCAACGGTGTCCCTGAAGGGACATCCTCAAAGTTTGATCGAGGGCACCGATCGAACCGACCACGCAACTATTCGTAGTTTAAAAAAAAGTTTTTCACTAACAGCGTTGATGAAACAAAGATATGGGTATCGAATCGTGAATCACTGGGTGAGCGAAATCTGTTTCGCTGCCAAGAGACAAAGGAAAGGCGATCGTGGGCGGCGGGTCGAAGCGCCGAAAGAAATTTCGTACGAAATAGAGGCCCCCCGGGGATTCGTTCGCTCTCGTCCAACGGAATGTTTTTATTCTCGGAACGAACGCGCGGCGCGACTTTCACGTCGGCCTATACGGTTTCTCTCTTTGTCCCAGCGTCGTCCTTTCTTCGTCCCTCCTCTCACGACTAACCGCGTTATTTTCTCGTAGGCACCAAACAAACGACCGAGACCGTGGTCCAAGATGCCGTCGACCAAACAGGTATACCTACTATTTTTCGCTCGACTTCGGACGATCGTCGCCTTCTCGAGTGTTGATTTTTGCTTCGTTCTGCTCTCCAAATCATCGACCCGGTTTTTTTCATTCTATTTTTCCCAGGATTTGGCAAATTCAACCTGAAGATCATGGCCGTCTCCAGCATGATCTTCATGAACGTCGCGTTCAGCATAACCAGCATCGGGTTCATATTGCCGTCCGCAGCGTGCGACTTCCAGATGACCACGGTCGACAAGGGGAGGCTTAGCGCCGCCCCCATGTTAGGTAATCCAATAAATTAGGCAATCCGCTGACTAACGCAAAAACGTAAAACAAACGCGAAACGCGATAAAAACGATTAGTGGACGGAGATTATAAACGGAGTGACGCATGCACAAATATATCCCGATCGATGATGATCGTTTTCATCGGTCGAGAACTGTTGTTTCACGCCAAGATACGGTGTACCGTAAATCAAGTGTACACACAACGTTTTCGCGTGTATCGATCAACTCTCCTAAATTCATAAGTACTCAGACGGGGACGGAGAGATTGAAGATACGAATCGTTGTAGAAATCGCGTGGACGCGCGAGGCTTGTCGTTATAATTTCTCGCATGCCATTCGTACACGCCCCAGGATCGATCTGACCTGTCCGATCAGGCCGACCGCGCGCCTATTCCTACGCGAAATGAAACTGCTTCTAAGGACGAAGACAAGAATTTGCCCGTAATAGGCAACGATACGACGATATTCGTATTTTTCGATACGTGGACACCGAGGTAAAAATCCTGTTGAAAAACGGATCGACTATCGAAGAACCACGCGAACCTGCCGCGGGTCCTGGTTTTTTCCGTAACAGAGAGCTTGACGCGCGCCGGGACGAGAAAGTAATTAACTGAACACGTGCCCAGGCTGCTTGTGTAACAGTTAATGTATTCGCGATGCGAGATATTGCAACGAGAAAGAACGTTCGAACGCGAACAAAGCCGAGCCTCATCTTTCGCGAGAACGTGACCTTTCGCGAGCCACGTTGCCTCACGCGTCGCCGCGCTGATCGATGAATTTATCATCGATCGGGTCGACGCAGCTGATTCCGGATTGTTTGTCATCAGGTATGTTGGCTGGCTCGTACATATGGGGCTGCTACGCAGCGATCAGAGGTCGGAGAATGTCTTTACTGGTGGCACTATTTCTACACGGTGTCTCCGAATTACTGGCATCGATAGTCCCGCTCTATTGGATCTTTCTGTTTCTCAAGTTCCTGAGCGGCGCAGCGTCAGTATATAAGACTGGATAACGATACCGATGAGAAGCGGTAGAAAGAGCGGTTCCGATGTTAAAAATGATTTCAGCATGAACGGACAATCGGCGGTGGTGTTCTTGTACCTGGGCGAATTCCAACCGACCAAATATCGAGACAAGATGCTCTCGTGGATGGAAATGGCTTGGGTGGCTGGGATGATAATTCTGGCAGGTAAGCACGCGGATCGAGACGAGAACGGGTGAGAGACGTGAACGTTTGTCGGTTGCCAGGGGTTGGTTGGATCGTCATCCCGCTGGAGGTGAACTTTGTTTACGAAGGTTACTTCTTCCACTCGTGGAATCTGTTCGTCTTCATATGTTCGCTCCCGGCCTTGTTGACCGGCTCTTGGCTGTTGTTTTTCCCGGAAACGCCCAAGTATCTCGCGGAGACGGGCAATAATGTGCAAATGTTGGACGTTCTGATGACAATGTACTCAGAGAACAATGCGCAACCACCCAAGGAGTATATCGTGAGTTACGATCGTTCCGCCGCGGGTTCGAGATCGAATCGAAAAACGAACCGAGACGTATAACGGATGTACAAACATTTTAAGACGAAGCTTCGTAACTGTGGCAACAACAATTTGAACGATCTGGTGCACCGAATAATGCACACCAGGGAGCCAGAGGACGTGGCAGAAAGATCGTTCCACCGTATGTTAAACGACATATGGACAAAGACCATGACGATACTCAGGCCTCCGTTCCTTTGCCGAACGATCGTCATGTGCCTGATCGCCTGCTTCGTCACGTCCTCTTATTACACGCTGACTCTGTGGCTACCGGAACTGTTTCACAGATACGCGGACTTTCATGATGCGTACCCCGATCAAACGGCCAGCGTTTGCACTCTGAAGAGCGCGAGGAATGCTACGTCGACGATGGTAAGCTGATCGCGGACCGCGGGTGTCGGTCAACAGGCGACGTCGGCCGACCATGTGAGAAATCAAAATGTCCAAACGATTGTTTAGGAACACTCGGAGGATCCGTTCGGCTGTGACTCCAGAGTACAAACGAGCGTGTTCGTGCACACGTTCATTTTGGGTGCTTCCTGTATACCCACGGGCCTGCTGTTACCCTTACTCGTCAACTACTTGGGATACAAATTCTTCCTCGGTGAGTCGAATCGATCGTTCGAATTCGAATTCGAATTCGAATTAAAACCAGCCGCGAGACATGAAAAACGTCGCAGAAGGCCGAGCGAATTTTGTTTCGTCCGTTGATAACGATTCCAGTCTCTCGGGGAAACGTCAACTCACTCTGTCTGGTGTTTCAGTGATAACAGCCTTTGTCCCAGCTATCGTGACGGCTTGTCTCTTCCTGGTACAAACGTCCACCCAGAACTTGATACTCTCGTGCGCTTACGAGTCCGTCACGTCCGTTTGTCTGAGCGTGGTCTACTGTCTTTTAGTCGACCTTTATCCGACGCACTTGAGGTAATTCCATTTTACACGATCCAAATCCTTTTAACATTTCTTCGAAATGAATTCTGATGATAGAAAATCTAATTCGGGTTTAAACGATCGTCCGGAAAATTCGCCCTGTCTCCCGTCGTATCACCGCCGCTACTAACGAACGTATCGACGACTAGACATGGACAGAGTCTGTCGCTTTGGTCTCACTCGTTCCTGGGACTCGTAATTTTTTTTTTTTTTTTTTTTATTTTTATCACAATCCACTCGACGCGAAAGCTATTTTTACCTAAACGATCGTTAAGCTCTTGTTTTTCTACTCTTCAAGATACGAGCAGCAGCAGTTTATCGTGACACGATCATCGATCGGGTTATAAATATCCGGATGACATAACGTTCATACATGTTTCTCCGTTCGACGATTTATTCATTAATCGACGCGATCATCTCGCGATACTGTCGATTAACGCTACAGGTATCTAACGATCAACGACCTCGAAACGATTCGAGAGCGTGCTCCGTTCTCGACGGTCACCGATAAAATACTCGTCTCGATTTATCACCGTCGTCATCGTCCTATCGCGGATTCGGGATCGGTATTCGCGATCAGATTCGAGCAGAAATTTCGGTTTCAATGGAATTTCCATTATCGACGTTCACACGGAAAAGTTTGGCAATTAACGCGTTGGGCGTTGTCGACGGATCGTCGAATCGTTCGATCAAAATGATCAAATGATCTTTGAACTTGGACGTTAGACGAACAGTAATAATAATAATAATAATAATAATAATAATAATAATAATAATAAATCGTTTTAGAGCGATGGCGTCCGGTTTGTCGGCCCTGATCAGTCGTATAGGTGCCATCAGTGGTACTCTGATGATCGGGTATCTGATCGACGATTACTGTACGTTAGTGATCATCATCGTAGCCGCCCAAATGTTCCGTACGTATTTTCGTTTTCGAATCGCGCTCTATGCATGCTGATACGCCGTTCTCATGATACGTTTGTAGTGAGCGGTCTGCTGGCCCTGTTCACGCCGGGACGTAAGAAGAGATCCAAGCCGGACATCGAGAAATCTTAACCAGAGTGTCCTTAAAGAAAATTGATCGGTCGACGGAGCGAGGAGAGCGGCGAACCGAATTTTCAGTTAAACCAGGAGCTTTCGGTAAATCTAGAAGACACGAACTCCAACTAGAACTAGAGAATCTCTCCTTTGAAATTATTGTTACAATAATCCCGTTTTAACGGCAGACAATTATGAGTCAATAGTATTTCTTATCAAGCTTTACGACGACTCACGAGCAAGCGATCTTCTAATTATTATCAAAGTACGTTCAACCCACACATGTACTTACTAACAAGACGTATAGACGAACGCCGTTGTACGTCTTGTTAATATATACGCCGTGATACTTAATATTTAGGAAGACGTGTGCAACCGCTCCAAGTATTTTCCGACGAGTCTTGAACTTTCACGCTCGAGCGATCAGTATAAAACGCACAGATAATTTCGCGTGTACTCAACGAATACGAAGAATTGACGAAAGTGGAATTCATTTTTTAAACTGACTCGGTGACGGTCCACCGATTGAAAGTGTAACGATTCAAGTACGGCAGGCATTCCGCTACTATTACTTTACGTCTATACGTATATACGCTGTTAAAGATGTTCACGCCGAACGCGCGTTCCGTACTTACGTTTAGAACTCAACGCGCACGACTAGAGATAATCGAAATGGAAAATAACAGAAACGCGTGAGTCTATCGTTGAGTTATTCTCGGGATCAACGAATTTATATGAACGGTACTTAAAATTATTATAACGTAGAACGTATTCGACGAAAAGAGTTTCGAGTAAACGTGCTAGATCGATCTGTTTGGTACTTAACGAGATGGCGGCGGGGGAATAGGTGTGAGAGGAGTCTCGGATACTCGAGTAAACCGATTATCGCAACGATCGTTGTTCACGCGACGCTGACACGCTGATCGGTCAGAATCGAAACGACGATCGCATCTCATTCGTCCGACGGGGTTTACTCTTCTATTTTTCTATGTACCACTACTTTTTATACACGTATATGTATACGAATATGTACACGTATGGACTTTGTCGCGTAGACCGTTTGTATATTCGCCATTCGAGTACAATAAAAATTACAAAAGTACAATATAAATATATTCTCGTTCCCAATCTTATGTTCACCACCACGAACGTCTCCTAATACACGTTCTCGACCAGTTTTCCTACCCTCGAAAAGAGACACGGTTCAGAGGAAGAATCGAGCAACACGCGCGACGATCCGCCCCCACCCTGTCAACAGCACCGCTATATTAACGGAGTGTAAGACACGTTATAGTACAATCTGACTGCAGCCCGATCCAAGGGACGAATCGTCGAGATGTGCAGTATCTCGTGCAAACGCGGCCGTAGTAGATGCCCGCGATTCGATCTTTCAACGAAGAAAAGAACCAGCTTCGAGTGATCGCATCGATACACCGACACGTGCGCGCGCGCGCGATATTTTGGTCACCGAATTAAACTCGTCGCGACTCCGATTCTAGCCGAGGTTGTCCCTATACGAGTTGTACAAATTATATTTCTCATTACACGTTGTTCGTCGGTGAACGAGATTAGGGGAAAGTCAGCGAGAACCGAAAACTTTTATGAACGAGAAACTTTACGAACGAGCAGATCACCCAGAGGTACGTCACGAGTATCCGTCGAATTTCCGAGGCGAATTTGATCTGGGAGATCGGGTAAGATTATGCGCGAATATCCAACGAATTCGCACGATTCGGTACTCGAAAATGAAAGAACGGCCGAAACTTAATTCGTACTTGGAGCTTTCTCATCGCGTTGGTAAACGACCACGTCGAAAATCTCCTCTTTCGATCGGACGCGTCCTTTCGGCTGGTCTCATTATTCGTTCGAGACGTCGACATTAACGGTGGATCGTAACGATCATGATCGGCGATCGTGGCCGATGGCTGCGTGGCACCGATGACGGAAATATTGGACTAGCGATCGAATATTTGGCGCGAATCCATACGGCCGACGACGGCTTGCCAAGATAACGCGTTTGCACGATGCACGAACCTGAGGAAAATTACAGGACGCGTCGCTGATCCGCGATTCAGACGCTTTAGTCGTGGTTCATCCCTCCTCACACTACCCCGTTCCTCGCTCGGCGGATCGCAACAAAACCATTTACTGCTAATTCATCGATCGGTAATTAATTTCAATCTACTAGCTTTTTTATCAGCTCATTACACAAGACCGATCCTTCGTTTCGCAACTTGTTTATCTAAATAATTTCGATCGTATCACGGCCCGCTGCTACTTCGGACAAAACCCGTTGATTCGTTGTTTCTTTTAACGCGTTTGAAAACGTTATGTCGTTCGGGTTTTCTACGTACGTGCGTGTCTAGCGTCTGGTATACAACGAAATTATCATCGTCGTCGTTGTCGTCGTTGAATTATGTAAACAGAATCTTGGCCACGGTCCGAAGAAAAACTCTCATTCACCTGCCGCCGAGAGGGTCGTGCCTATTGATCATGGATCACGTTCGATCAGCCGAGGGAAATCTCGAACGGCAGACTACGAACGACGATGGGTCGAAATCAAGGGGAATCGATGCATCGATGCGTACATTTAATTCCTCTTCGTTTGGAAATTATTAAAACATCTGACGGGGTTACGGGTAAAAGGAACGATTCAGGATACACCTAATTCAAACGTCGACGTCGAGTAACAACGTCGAGCGAAACGGATCGTTGAGAGCGCAAGGTTCAACGTGGTTCAACGTCGATGCGAGGTTTGCTCGACGGAAAGCGCAGACGATCGCAGAACGACGATCGCAGAACGACGATCAATTCCGACTCAAATTCGTTCACGACCAGTCAACAATTTCTCTTTTCGCGGATTTTTTTTTTTTTAACGAATTTTTGTTCCTCGTCCCATGAAAACGACAACGTCACCTGCTCAACCGATTTATGGTCCCTCGTTCGAGTAATCTACCGTTCCTCGCGGGTTTCCCCCGCAACGTAACTGACGGTGATCAGCGATAATAAATCCCGCGATACCCGTTTGTTTTCGCATTACCTCACTTACTTCCTGGTACATCTCGGTACAATCTCCAAAATTGCTACAATCTCTCGTTACGATAATCCGAATGCAATAAAACAAGTTAAACAAAACGATTGACGCTGTCTCGAGTGAATTAATTTACAAATCGGCTTGGCACCAATTCCAATTGATTTCAACGAAAGAAACTGACGCCAAATAGAATCGACTAAACTCCTGATTCAGCTTTTAAAGATATCCGTACTGTAGATAGACGTAGGACTTGGTATGTACCGTTCATATTTAAGTTTCACTGATGTAAGGTCCGAAATCCTGGCAGCTGATATACCAAGAAACCAATTGAGAATGAGAATAATTCGTTCGACCTAGACCTTCCGCTACTAGTCCGAACTCTGATCAAATTTTCTAGACCTCTCGATTTGAACAACTCGAAAGTGTACGTCGCCGGATTTCAATTTTTTTAGAAAATTTCAATGTGAAATGTTTACAAAACTTGTCACACGCTTCTCATTATACACAGTCGACGATACTTGGTACCAACGATCGTGTTCAGACATGTTGAAGCAGCAACGTTGAATCGAACACGATGTCTGGCAATATCGAAGAAAATCTCGACGACGGCACGTGCTGGCCAAAAAAACATGCTCACAGCGAGCCAGCTACGGAACCGATCGAGTGAGATTTCTCTTCTGATACGATCATAAATAAGTGTCATAAAACGGAGATAGGGAGGCGCCGATAAAATAACGATCGAGTTGCGAGCTTGTTTTGATAAAAATAATACTCGTTTAGGATGTTCGCAACAACTTGTGATTCTTTCGTAACAGGCGGAAGTGGAGATAGGTACGTAAGCATCTCGACGCGCAATAAAATTGATAAAACCATCGAAATACTCACTTTTTTAATGATGCATCATCATTTTCGTCGTGCTCTGTTTATCGTTTAATTACAGCGACCAGCGATGACTGATCGAACTCTAGACTCAGTTTATGTCACTATAAACTCTGCAGAATGAATGTTGGTTGGTTGGTTGGTTGGTTGGTTGGTTGGTTGGTGAGTCATCGAGTCATTGTTGGTCCAGACCCCGTTGACATTCGTTGGTCGAGGTCCGACATACTTAAAATGGTCAAACATAAAATTCGCACGGACCAGCATCGATCGATCCAATCGATAATAGTCGTTATTTCGAATTGTACCAGTTTAGACATGCGAAACAGCGTGAAAATGAAATCCTGTGTGCAGACTCGCTATTTGCACAGCGTGCACGCGTACACACCCTGCGACTCATCGTATCATAAATAACGAAAGCATGGCGTTGGGTCTCTCACGCACATCGAAATCTCTCGAAGGCTCTGTCCCAGAAAGTGTTACCTTGTTCGTCGCGTCTCGCTCTCGAAGCTGATGCGCGACGGTAGGTCGGCAAACAGAAGGAAATCCGTGATCCCGATAAACACCCGTAGTTGATACCGAAATTCTCGCATGTAATAAAACTCGCACAAGCGCATTCTAATCCAAAGCAATCAGAAATCCCGTGATTCGACCGGGAACCTTCTCGCGCAACATCGTGTTCGTCTCTTAAGCGTTCATCTTTTAAAAATTCGCAAATTGTAAAAAGGGAGTGACGGAGTCCACGTTCACATGTAGAAAACGTGAACCTCGACGTTCCAGGGACGAGTACAACATCGGGTACAACAAGAAGACGAAAAAAGCAGATCGGCCAGGAGAGACGGAGACGGAGACGAAGAAAGCCTATTATCTTATCTGTGGGTAATGAACAGCCACTGCTGAAAACTGATATATGCCGAAACGCGATCGATAATTTCGACAGTAGCCCGTTAGCCACTGGTGGATCGTGACGATCCCCCATCGACGATACCCGACGTCGCCGAAACCTTCAGGGGATCGCAGAAACCTTCAGGGGGTGGGAACGAAGGAGAATCGACAGCATCGATCGGCCGATATCGAAGGAACGAAGAAAGAAACGGCGGCAAGAGAGCGAGACTTTGTCGAGGGATCAACAGCGAGGATCTCTCGGTGGAAGTCATCGTCGACGTACGCGTGGACGATAAAGACGTCGATCAAACACCACCGAGTGTTTACCAATGAGCGTGGCGTGCAGTGGTTGCGCACGAGGACAAAACCGTGGAACACGCACGGGGAGCAGACAGTGCTGCGCTTTGGCGACCGGGGCCCTCCGAATTCCTCCAACTCCAACACTACCTGACCTGTTCATCACCTCCCGTGAGATCGAGCATCGCAGCGACGTGATCATTCACCATGGGTACGTCGTACGAAATGACCAATTACCATTATTATCATTAACGCTGCTTTCGCAAACAACATCTGCTCGTGAGCTTCAATCGTGAGCTTCGATTCTAACCCAAGTCACCTGCTAATAAACTGATCTGTTCTGCGACAGGGCTCGACTTCTTGGCAGACGGAGGTGCCGATTTCGAGCACGCGATCAGCGTAACAGGTAAGAAGAAGCCAGGTCAAGTGTTTGGGTGTCAACACCCAAACAATTTTTTAATCGGCCAAACGTTTTTTTTTTTTTAACAGGGTTTGGAAAATTTCATTACATGCTGCTGATGATATGCGGCTTAATTTATATGGACACGGCCATCGGGGTCACTATACTGTCGTTCGTGCTGCCGGCGGCTCAATGCGACTTGGAAATGGATTCTACGGCCAAAGGTTGGCTCACGGCATCCCCGATGCTAGGCAAGTAGTTTTCTCTCCATCACGCGATAGATAAATAAAATAAACGTGGTCGCTTGGTGTCGATCGGGTTTCATTCTGTTTAACTCGCGTCGTATTCGTAGTTCTACTTGACGTTCGCGTCGACTCGACTTGGCGCGCGAGAACAACCACCAAAGTCTGACTAAATTTTCAGACGCGACATTCTCGAAATATTTTCGAAATATTTTCGAAATATTTTCGAAATTATATTCAATATTAAACCGAATAAAATATGAAAATACCAACTCGTACTGTATGTACTAATATCCGGGATATATCGTTGGCCAGGTATGGTGGTCGGCTCTTACATATGGGGGTGCCTGGCTGACACGAAGGGAAGGAAGGTCGTGTTGATCGCCACTTTGTTAATGGACGGAATAGTGGGCGTGATTTCCGCGTTCGTCCAATACTTCTGGGTATTCCTAATCTTCCGTTTCTTCAACGGATTCGCGTAAGTAACACGATCAAACGAAACTTTAATTCTCTCTCTCTCTCTCTCTCTCTCTATCTCTCTCTATCTCACGTTCTCATTCAAAGGAGCTTCGGAAAAATTCCCGAAAATCCGATTTTTTTTCGTTTTCGTTTCTACTTTTATTCCTTTGTTCTTTTATTGTTTTATTTCATACATACAGCGTTACGGGAGCTATGGGAATTTGTTTTCCGTATTTAGGGGAGTTCCAGCCGACAAAGTATCGCGAAAGATGCCTTTGTTGGATGGAAATGTTTTGGACCGTCGGAGTGATAGTATTACCGCGTAAGTAATGAACAAAGTGAATATTTCAAAAATATAATTTGAACAGAGACCGAGCGTCAACGATTAAACTTAAACTCGGTTCGGAGACAAAGGCCACGCGTGTGGCATTGAAATCAGTGGAACTCGCGTAACGGGGAGAGCGAGTTCGAGAAATGCTCACCTGTTCAGATTCAAGCAAATCGATTTGCGAACGATGCTCACAATGACACCTTCTGTTTCTGTCCAGTGATCGCGTGGCTGATCATACCGATGGACTTCATGTACGCTTCGGACGCGTTTTACTTCAAGTCATGGAATCTGTTCGTAGCGCTGTGCGCTCTGCCTTCGTTGATGTTGGGCCTGTGGCTGTTTGCGTTCCCGGAAAGCCCCAAGTTCCTCCTCGAGTGTGGCGAAACGGACGCCGCCCTCCAAGTGTTCAAATGGATCTACGCGCAGAACACCGGTGAAAGTCCGGACTCTTATCCGGTAAAACGAATTTTGCCAACAAAAATCTGCCAAGTCGACGCCGCCGCGCCGGTCCAATTCTAATTAAAGAATCTAATTCCGTAATACCCGAGTCTTACACGATTCTACAATTTTGAACGCGAATCGTTTGAAACCAGAACGATTCCTCCCGTAGAATCTTGTTACCAACGAATCACGTTACCAACGATCGCCTTGCTCTCTTCATGCTTTCAACCGTTCCCCCTTCCGTTCAGGTGACCTCGTTGCAAGAGAAAACGAGGGACAAAAGCACTCGGTCACTGAAGCTGCATAAACGGAAGGACCTGAAGGTGTTTTTAAAAGAGATCACGGACTTGACAGCCACTCTATGGAAGTCACCGTACGCGAAGAACACGCTACTGGCTTGTGGCATACAGTTCGGCCTCACCAGTAGCTACTACACGCTCATGGTGTGGTTTCCAGAATTGTTCACCAGGTAGGTCAAATTGCACCACCGATATATTATCCCGCGCTCGTCGACGCGACCAAAAAAATACGTGACGTAAAAAACGAACCGTGAACAATTTCAGATTCGAACAGTTCGAACACGAGAATCCTGGACAGACGACCTCGGTCTGCATAGTGTCGGACCAAACGGGTAACAACGGGACGCTCGTCGACCCGTACGGTTGCGACATGGTGATAGCGCCGAACGTCTATTTGCACACCGTCTACATAGGTCTCGCCTGCATTCCCGGCTCGATCATCCTACCGATCTTCGTTCACAAGCTCGGCGCCAAATTCTTTCTGAGTAACTATCTGTTTATCGTGAAATCTGTCGTGGTCACACGACTCATCTTATCGTCAGACAAATAAAATTTGTGTCTATTCGAGGTCTTCATAAGCGATTACGTGCAAGACTTCAATCAGACGTTGACGTTGACTTTGAATTTCAGTCGTGTCATTGATGGTGTCTGGCGCCGCAACGGTGGCCTTCTACTACGTCACGAACGCAACGCAGAATCTGATATTGTCCTGCGTTTTCGAGGCACTCACGTCCCTCGGTATCTCGCTAGTCTATTGCGTGATCGTCGACATGTTTCCGACGAATCTCAGGTGAGCGAATCTCGGCCGCGACTAATTTATTAAGGGGAAACGCACGCGACGGGAGATTTACGACGACGGCTCCCGTCGCTGATTACTTGATGACGTTCGAGGTTGCGTCGTATCGTGTATGACACATGGTAAACGTTTGCGCGAGACTTGAGATATTTACTCAGTTGCATCGTGTCCTATCGCGATACTTAGCTCTCGAAAACAGTCGACCGAAAATCCACTTTCAGTCTCGAATTCTCGCGAATCGACCGAAACAGAATCAACGGAACGAACGTCCCTGACAACAATTTTTAGTCAGTTCTTTAGAACGCGGTGTCGCGGATAAAATGGCAATAGATAAGAAGAATCAATGAATTTTCAGAGTAATGGCTGCGGCTTTGTCCCTAACTATGGGTCGACTAGGCGCACTAGTTGGTAACTTGGTGTTTGGCTACCTAATCGACATGGCCTGCGTGGTACCAATAATTCTGTTTGCAGCATTTCTGTTCAGTGAGTATCAACTGTCCGACGGAGATCCCCCGGTCAGTTTACTCTCGAGTCGAATCTGATTATCGATTCCGTGAAACACCTTACCCGTCGCACAAGAGTTTCTTCGAGGCATAACTGTCCATTCGAACATTTTCAGTATGTGGATTCATGTCCTACCTGCTACCGAAGACAGGAAAGGAAACGCTCGAATAACGATCATGCTCAAAGAACGACTCCTGGAGAGAATCAACGAGCGAACAGAGTACTTTTCGGAACCGAACAAGGGTGCGGTCGACGAGAATTATTCAACTTCATACGAAGAATGGTTGAACGCGTGTCAAATTGTTGTCAGAATCGTTAGACCGACGACTTCGTCGTCGTCCGTGCGTTGCCAGTGTTGGCCATTGCATGTACGCTCAAGTATGCTGCACATTATTTCAGTTTCAGTTCAGAGTAGTTAACAATTTGCAGTTTCAGTAATTACGACACGAACGATCTTTGTTCAGTTTTTTTATAAGATTTTCATCGACGATCTCATAAAGAAACTGTCTTTTAATTTTTTCAACCTCATTCAGATTCGTGTAAATATAGCATGTATTTATTTTGCATATGTAAATACGAAATATTCGGATTCGATGTAATTAAACTTAAGCGAATAAATATGATTTCGAGAAATGTCTGCTCACACTGTCAATTGGACTCATTTGATCGTACTTTGCGTCACGATCTGTTCGATCCATTCCTTACCCACCCAAAAATACGGAGATAGTAAACGCCATAATACAAGAAAGCAATTTTTCACCGTCGATCGATCGGACGACAATTTTCCGAAGTAGATTGGATGGACGGTGAAAAGAAAAGGACGAGTTAGAATGTGTATGCCTGCTTAACAGGAGCACCGTAAGTCGATTACCTACCTGCCCGACCCGCCCATATCTAGATACTTACATTGAATTTTTATATTAAAGGGAAAGCAGACTCACACACACGGCACGACGGTACGTACGGGCTCTCATCTGCTCGGATGCAAGGCCCTGCGGGAGCCGCCCCGGGACGACTCCACACACCCGAGTTCAACATACACAAACAGTTTCTACGTGTGGAACCTATCAAGTACTCGAGTACTTGAAAAATACTAGTATTTAAATACTCACTGTGCTCGCCAAACAAGTATAAAATACAACCGGTCACCCGTGCCGCTTCGGATCTTCCATCCCGGCATGACTGACCTGACCTGAGTGACCGGAGGAAATTGAAAGCGTGCACTCACTGTGATAGAATCGTTCATCGATGCCAGGAACCATAGCCACCAAAAGTCGAGGGATGCCCGGAACCGGATGCTACCAGGAAGAAGGACACTCTAATCAGACTAAATGAATTCTCTTATTAATTCGAATGGTGCAAGTTCGAATGCAAGAATACAATAGGACAAGAATAGAACATTGTAAAAGTACAAGCAACGGTGGTAAATACATTCCCGGTATTCCGGAAATGTCCAACAAGTAGTTTAAGCAAACGGGTCTTTGTCAATCGGCGTTAATAGCGAAAGTCGGCGAATAATAGTGCACGAATCTAATGCTTACACTTACGCGAGGTAATGAATGCGTCGTAGGTAAACTTCTAATTGTAAACCGGTAACGATCACGTGCGTACATACAATATGACTTCACGCTAGGACGAGCACTGGAGTACATATACAACATATACAACGCGTATATCGAGCGTGCACATACCCCAAGCGACTTTACGGTTACGCGTGGCGCCATCTAGCGTTCAAGATGATCTAGCGACCATGATCACGTGGCGCCTACTCAGCTTTACTGACTGCTGCTTCTTTAGAAAGAACCACATAGGCAGGCGAGAAAAACGCGAGAAACTCGTGTCGGTCGTATGTCGTTTGTAATCGGTACATATTGTAATTTAATAAAATGAGGTGGCTCGTCTTGTGTCTATCTCTCATCACATTCTTGAGCTGGAGTGTCAACTGCTATTTCATTACCGTGGACGCGCATGCCGAGGAATGTTTCTTCGAGAAGGTGGATGCTGGCACGAAAATGGGTTAGCCTCTTTTACTTCTTCGACAAACTGTGGATATACTTATTGGAGACAGCAAGTCTCTATCGTTAGCTCAACGATTTTTAACAGCGAACTTTAACATGTTAATACGTATTTTAGTACAAACTAGTATCGCAATGAAATTAAAACAATTTTGTATGATCTGTCGTCTTTCAGGGTTGACGTTCGAAATAGCAGAGGGTGGATTCCTAGATATAGATGTAAAAATATTGGATCCAGAAGGAAATATAATTCACCAAGCTGATCAAGAGAGCAGCGGTAAATATACGTTTGCTGCGCATTATTCCGGCCTTTACACTTACTGCTTCAGCAATCAAAAGAGTAGTATGACGCCAAAAGTCGTCAAGTTCAATATGGATATCAGCGAAAATGCACAACTGCCCCTTGAGAATGCATCAGACGGAAAGAATGCCGAAGATTCGAATCATAGTAAAATAGATGAAATGATCAAGGAACTAAGTACAAGTTTATGGAGTGTGAAGAATGAGCAAGAGTATATGCAGGTAATTTATGATCGATGTGTGATCAGCATTTATATGTACAACGATCAGTTTTGTAGCGTCGATTAATCTTGTTTCAGGTCCGAGATCGAAATCACAGAGCTATCAGTGAAAGTACAAATTCTCGAGTAGTTCTCTGGACGTGTTTCGAAGCCATCGTTCTGGTCGCTATGACGATAGGACAAACTTTATACTTGAAACGATATTTCGAAGTAAGACGAATCGTCTAACTCGCAATAATAAAATAATCTATCAGTTGTATATTTTTCTCGATGTGATTAAGTTATAATGGAATTAAAAGATGTCCACTTTTTTTTAAAAATAATTTGTTTCCTTGTGAACGTCGACGCGACAAAGATACGTGTAGCCACGTGGCATGGTCACGTTCCGATCGCTACATCACGTCCTATTCGGCAAACTAAAAATATAAGTTGTGCTTGAATCGCAGCAGGGATATATATTGTATAAATATCGGACCATCATCGTCGACGATCGTGCGTCATCTCCGTGTCAACGATCAACTCCGCAGAGTTATTACTTTCATTAAATATTTTTACAGAGTGATTGCATTTATATAATTGTACAGCGACACATGATATACAATAATAAACATCAAAATTAATGGTTCGATCGTTATTGAAGAAACACGAGAGAGATTTAGATAGTGATATCGATGAAAAGAATGAGAAATGAAAGAATGGTCGGATCCATTTTTGTACCGGAACCGACTCTGTCCTCGTCGGATCATTCACGTCTGATTCACGGCGAGAGGAGCCGTGAGAATAAATGAATGAACTAAGAAGGGGTGGTAGGAGCACCCTTCCGGTGTTCACCCCCCCAGGGCACTTAACTCAGAAAGGCTCATTGTCCGCTCCTTCTCATTAGATGCCACCTACCAGTTTCATCGACCCTACACAAGGATGTGACAATACTGTGTGGATGCTTTTTTTTCCTCTCCTTGTTGATCTGTGTAGCTCGAGGAAACGAGACCGGATTGCATGCCTCGGTGTCTGCTCTAATCCCGGCCATGATTATACTCGAAAGACAATACTTTCCGTGTCCGCCCCATTAGTCCGTGTGAAACTGTGTGAAACTGTGTGAAACTGTGTGAAACTGTGTGAAACGTCGGAATCGCCGGGATTACGCCGCCGCTCCCTCGTTGTCACTTGGTTCGTTCGCTCGTTTTTTCGTAAAGATAAAGAAAAAGCTCGAAAAAGAGCAATACGATATGTGTATGTATGTATGTACTACATGCAGCTAGTTTAATCGTTACTAGTTAAATTTGTTCCATCCGTTTTGATAATCTCTCAACGGGTAATGATTTACGATACGTGCAATTGATTATAAACTGTACACACGACAGAGTCATGTCACTCGGGACATTGTCAATGATTCGTTGACGATCTTTTTCACACCGGTCCCGACGACCGATGCGTTTAATCAACGGTTTAACAGATGATGGATAATTATCGAGTTTATCAGCGTCGATCCGGCTTCGTCTGACGGTCTCCGTCGTGGTTGTGAACGATCGAGAAACCCAAGATATACAGTCGTAAGTTCATCGGCGCGATACGCGACGGCGAGGACATGCCTGATTATAATAAATGTTCACTCGAGTGTATGTAATTACGAATTACGCATCGTACAGTTTACCGATCTCGTTCCCTGTCTTTTTATTTTCTAACGAGTTTTGTTTCACCCGCGATTACGGGCCTTCTCTGACGACGACGACAGGAGAGATCGTCAATTACTCGGCGCGGACTTTACCGTGTCGCGCCAAGTTTTTCTCTTGGTCGTTCCCTTTCGCGTTGAAAGCGGTTTACAGGCTGGGTTATTGTACACAAATCGATTGTTAAAGCGGCAAATGCAGTTGTTTACTAATTACTATTGTGCGAGAACGTACCACGACCGTTCACGACCACGTTGAACGGAGTCATTACGTACGGAGGGATTTATACAAATGTCTTGCGAACATTTTTCAACGTACCAATTATCGTCTCATAATTCTATTCGATTGTTCGACCGTGATATAATATGCACCGCGTCCTATAAAAACGTTTGGGTAATTTCTGACTGGCTTCCAATTATTACCTTTCGTTGGGCCGGTGAAAGAAACTGCTCTATAATTTAACGCTCTGGTTGGCGCGTGTGTTCTTGACAAGAAATATGCAAATTTATTAGGGTAATTGCACGATGCTAACGAGGGGTTTGAACGTATAATTACCGCCGTCGTATCAATGTCCAAACGAATTCGGTCGTCTCAAAAGAATTTCTAATGCCACACCAGCCAGTTGGTATCGCACTCGGTTGCGAGAGAGATAATTTTCATATACACGTTTATGCATAGGTACTAGGCGTTGGTCGCGATGGGGAGATATCCGAAACAACACTTTTGCCGCTGATTCGTTCAAAGTGATCGCGACCCGATGCGATGACATTTATCATCCGATCGTGGAACGAGATTCACCGCGGGCCGAGTCAGATTTATCGAGAATACGTAAAGGTCCGATCCGAAGAAGAAAAAAGGCTAGTGCTAATTAACGAGAGCGATTACACGTAACGGTATAATTCAAAGAAAAAGAGAAGGGTCGGCGAAGGGTGCTGTGGCGCAAATAAACGACTCTGCCCGCGGAGCATCAATCGAAATAGCGAGGTACACGGCTCGTTTAACGAGACATAATGTATTCGTTACGCGATACAATCGGCGTGACGATCATTATTATTATTATTATTATTATTATTATTATTATTATTATTATTATTATTATTATTGAACCCGATTCAAAATTTATTATTCGAGACAACGTACTATCTGCTTGAACAATGCGCGAAATCCGATTCAGCGACACAATGAACCAGCAGAAACTGGAGAATTAACCCGTTCAATTGCCCGAGCAGATCGCGTTTACATGTAAAACAAGCGGTTTATCGTGTTCATCGATGCGAGTACTTAAAAGTCTTTTCTGCCTTCCTTACTAACGACTACCGACCATACGTACGTACATATGTATACGTCCCGAAGGGAGACTACGTTCTTTCTTTCCCACCTAAAGAGTCGAAGCGATCGAGATATCTGAACCGAAACAACGTATAATATGACGTATTGCGATTGTTGAAAATTGAGAGATCGTTGCCGAAGAATAAGAGGCCCTATCCGTTTCGTTCCGCGGAATTCGACGGGGAGAAAATGAGACGCGTGTAGTCGAATCGAAATCCTGCTCGGGGTCCTTGGCGAGAGAAGAAGGGGTTGTGTTCGGGCAAGGGAAAAAAGAGCTGCTAATTGACACGAGCGATTGCACGTAACGGTATAATTAGAGAGGAGAATACGGAGCCCGGAGCGAACCGGTGCACCGTGCACCGATGAACCAATGAACCGGGCGCAGAGAGCGGCGAGAAGAGGAAAGGAAGAAAGAAAGAAAGAAACAGAAACAGAAATGGAAGCAAGGGAGAGAAGCAGTCAAGTTCCGTCGAAGGTAGCGATGGGCCGTCGCAGGTTTTCTCCTGTCGCGAGTTTCCAAACAATTCACTGTTGACCGCAGCTTCTTTCAACCGGTGACTCGTGTCACGGTGATTTAAAAGTTACTTACACGCGTCTTACTCGCGTCGCGTTTTCAGTTTCTATCGTTTTTGGATTTTGGACTAGCAGCAGCAGCAGCAGCAGCACGATGGGCAAGCGATTCGACCGCGGCTGCTCGCGGTGCCTCGAGGCCATCGCTAGTCCGAGGGGGCTCCCTCTTCGAGAGAACGAGCAAGAGAGACCGATCTTACAGCGCGCAGGATAGACGAGGCAACGACGCGACCGACAACCAAACGTACCACCGTCGCAGTCTCTCATGGATTCTGCCTGCACTCTGCGACCATTCCGCAGTAACACGTCGTCGAGGTCGGTTTCGCAGCCGTCCTTCGGTCTCTCGCCGCGAGCACGAGCCGGTACACCTCGAGGATGCTTCGACGGACCACGGACCATCTCACCGGTGAATCTTGACTCGGTGGCCACGAATTCAGAAGATCACGCGATCCACGGAATTTCGCGTGCCAAATATGGTTCGAATAGGTTGAAATGTTTGGCGGCCGGTGAACGCAGGACCTCTTCGAAGGATATCGAGAATCCCGGTGTATCTTCAAACGCATCGGTACGTTTCGAGCGACGACGTCTCTGCGCCGCACCGCCGTGCCGTCCCGTTCGGTTTCGTTTCCGTGATCGAAGAGGATGACAGGATACGACGAACAGGGTCGAGAGGATTTTAACACGGCGAACCAATACCGTGGACGCTTCGACGAGTCGCGGAACGAGTAATCGTGCTTGAACAAGTCGGATCTATCGTGAATCCAGTATGTGTCGTTTGCCAGTCGTCAGTGTTTCGAGCGACCGTTTCGGGTGACTGGGTGACACTTCTGCGACCTGCCTTGGTTCGGCAAACAGGTGATTACACTGTCTCCAACTTTCTTTTATTCTCCATCTTCTCTCGCCTCGTGGACCGAACGCATGAATCGAACGAGGCATCGTTCACTTTTAATTTCGTTTCGGACGTGCGTGTCGTCGTGATCGACGCGAAATTTCAAAAAGCATCCCGCGCGCGCTGTCCCCGTTGTTCGGCTCTCGTCGACGAACACGAAGGAAAATAAGAAACGGCGAAACGGCGAAACGGCGATCCCCCCTCACCGGGTACCATAATTAACTCGTCCTTAACGACTTTCGACACACCCGGTTCATCGACTAATCGTTTAATCGGTTTCATCGGCTATTATAATTAGACAACCTTGTCTTTATTATTAACGTAATTACGATCTCGATTCGATACGACTATAAATACTACGCAAGGAGAGACTCAGTCGATCAGGATGTACATTCGCAGTCTCTCATGGATTCTGCCTGCACTCTGCGACCATTCCGCAGTAACACGTCGTCGAGGTCGGTTTCGCAGCCGTCCTTCGGTCTCTCGCCGCGAGCACGAGCCGGTACACCTCGAGGATGCTTCGACGGACCACGGACCATCTCACCGGTGAATCTTGACTCGGTGGCCACGAATTCAGAAGATCACGCGATCCACGGAATTTCGCGTGCCAAATATGGTTCGAATAGGTTGAAATGTTTGGCGGCCGGTGAACGCAGGACCTCTTCGAAGGATATCGAGAATCCCGGTGTATCTTCAAACGCATCGGTACGTTTCGAGCGACGACGTCTCTGCGCCGCACCGCCGTGCCGTCCCGTTCGGTTTCGTTTCCGTGATCGAAGAGGATGACAGGATACGACGAACAGGGTCGAGAGGATTTTAACACGGCGAACCAATACCGTGGACGCTTCGACGAGTCGCGGAACGAGTAATCGTGCTTGAACAAGTCGGATCTATCGTGAATCCAGTATGTGTCGTTTGCCAGTCGTCAGTGTTTCGAGCGACCGTTTCGGGTGACTGGGTGACACTTCTGCGACCTGCCTTGGTTCGGCAAACAGGTGATTACACTGTCTCCAACTTTCTTTTATTCTCCATCTTCTCTCGCCTCGTGGACCGAACGCATGAATCGAACGAGGCATCGTTCACTTTTAATTTCGTTTCGGACGTGCGTGTCGTCGTGATCGACGCGAAATTTCAAAAAGCATCCCGCGCGCGCTGTCCCCGTTGTTCGGCTCTCGTCGACGAACACGAAGGAAAATAAGAAACGGCGAAACGGCGAAACGGCGATCCCCCCTCACCGGGTACCATAATTAACTCGTCCTTAACGACTTTCGACACACCCGGTTCATCGACTAATCGTTTAATCGGTTTCATCGGCTATTATAATTAGACAACCTTGTCTTTATTATTAACGTAATTACGATCTCGATTCGATACGACTATAAATACTACGCAAGGAGAGACTCAGTCGATCAGGATGTACATACACACACACACACACACACACACAGGTGTAGAGAAGAGCGGCAAATTTCTACACCATAAAAGTGATTAGATTATGCGACCATACGTTACGTTTGACAAGCAGATAGGTATCGAAATATGGGATCGTGGTCGAATACGGCTCACTCGGGGCAGGGCAATTTATTCTGGGAACAATGTCCCGTTGAATTTTAAACCGGCGGCAGCGGCGACGGCGGCAGCGGCGACGGCGTTATCGGAACTAGTTCACGTAGTTTGAAAAACCGCGACTGCTCTATCTGGTTCCGCGGCACGTTCATAAAATGGAGAAACGTTCGGTATCCCGACAAATAAAATTGTCGGGACCGTTTAATTGTGTCAGGGTTTGCAAGATCGAACAAATCCTACTCGTAATACATCTTAATTGAACGTGTCGTCGTCAGATGTAGAGAGATTTTACGATAATACGTTGTACGTCGATACGTCGTTCTTGTATATAAAAATAATAATAATTAGTCCGCGTGGTCGTTATTACGACCGTGGTACACCGTTATCTCGACGCACGTGCATACACGTACGTATGTTATGTATCTATTTATGAATGAACGAGCCGCCGCAGGTCGCAACCTTATCTCATCAGTTTCAAGTTTTTCCTATAAAATAATATATCGGTAACTGCGCGATAACTGCTCGAGACTTGCGCATTAACCAACACTGATTGTTTATGGGCCACGAGTAACGTTAATCGAGTGGCTCATGCTCATGCGAATTAATGAGGCATCAATCCCGCGCTGCGATTCATCTCCGATCTTAAATCGAACCAATTAACGTGATTTCCTTTCGACCAACGTGTCAACAGGGCAACGTTCTCTCACCGAACACGGTTCTGTTCGCGTAGCGCGAACAGAACGAGATGGAACCAGGCGAACGTTCGCAGGCCACGACGACTTCCTCTCGACGATCGTTGCGCGGCGGTGATTCACAAGATCCGAGACAGATTAATTGCCGTACACTTTTAACGACGCGACGCCCGGTGCTTCTACTTCCGATCATCGCCGGCCGTTGCCATTGCGCAACGAGTAAGCGGTCAGGTGAAACGCTTTATTTCCTAGATTCGCTCGACTGTTAAGCATCGTAACTTGGCCACCGACAAACTCACTCAAGTCCTATGATATCCTCGTAACGCGGATAACGTTTAATACGACATCAGAAACGGTAAACGCGCGCGTGTAAAATCTTCGGACAGCCACTCGAGCCTCATCGATTCGAAACGGTAATTGCGATCTCTGCAGCTGTGCTTCTTTGCCTCTGTTCATTGTCGTTTGCTTCTTATCATAATTGCGATTTATTCAAATCCCACACGGTCCACACCGTTCAAATCTCCGTTTATCTCCCGTCGATCTCTACCACCTGCCCCCTTCCTTTGTCCCAGCATTCTCTCCTCCGTCCTTTTCCCAGGTCCCTTTTCGTCCGACGTTCAATTCGAACCTTTTCGTTCGTTCGTTCGTTCGTTCGTTCATTTCTATGTTTCTCCTCTTCCTGTCTTCAATTTTCTCCTCGCATTTCTCGTAATTCCTCATCGAAACCTCGCGCGTACAATTTTTTCAGCTCTCTATCCGATGGCACCATTATTTCTTTCCACTTCTCCCCTCCCTGTTCTCTCTCTCTCTCTCTCTCTCTCTCTCTCTTGTTTCGATCCATCGAGAGTCCTCCGCACACCTTTCTCTCCTCTCGAGCACGCTCTCGTTTTCTCATACGCTCGCGTATATGTATAGCGCACAAGTCTATACTGTACCCACCCGGTCGAATCCCTATCCGGCGGCGACTGCATTTAAGAGAACTCGTCGTCCTGCCTCGTGTAAATCCCGACCCGGCGGCTACTCATCGTCGCCGTTGTTATCGTTGTTGTCGTCGTCGTCATCTGCCAAGTCGTTCAAGCTTGCCACCTTTTTCCTGACGCTCGTTGGAAACGATTCGCTGTTTAAAGTGGTCTCGGTATTTATGGATGTTTAAACACGCGGAATAATGGACCCGAAAGACAGGCTCGCGTGTCATTTCGCGAATAATCGCGGTATTCGTTGAAATAGCAGGCATAATACGTATCTCGTGTCCTCGCAAAGTATTCGATGTTGGTGTCGCGATTCAAACAAATAAATCATAGTCATAAACCTGTACCTCGCCGAGCTACGGTCACCGTGCTCTGTTCGAATTTGAACAGGTTTCAGTAATATCGATACTCGCCAGTAATTCTCGTAACATTCACCAATAATAATAATAATAATAATAATAATAATAATAATAATAATAATAATAATTGATAACGGAAACTGATAATTTCATTAGTTTACTAGCGTTGTTGATCGTGTAGAGAAGCGGCGCAGGCAGCGGACAAGCTTCTACGACCAGGAAACATTATCGTAATTTCGTTGCCGATAAACACACGCTCCGAAGCCGGAGCCCACTACGCCTACCTACCTACGGTTGCACGCGGCTATACACGGGTACTCGGGACTGGATCGGGAGAAAGAAAAAGAAGAAAGCAAAGAATTGATACAAGCGGACGGGAGAGCATTAACATCGCGGTTTAATTCCTGTTAGACTCGTAATTACGCGGCCAGTGAGGATATGTGTAAATGCTCGCGAAAGATGTACGCGCCGTCGCCCGTACCCTTCGCAAATCTCACGGGACATTGTCGGAAAGTGACGAACGCGGTCCCCCACATCGGTAACCGTGTCGAACGTCGTCATCTTGGTCGGCGTAGTTTGGATAAAAAGGAATCGCCGCGTTCATCGTTCCTCGGTACACAGAGACAGAGAATGAGAAATGTCATTAGGTAGAGAACAAAGTCAAGTATCGATACCGCGGTCTAATCGTTGCCAACTCGTCGCGTTCAGCGTAGTCTCGTTCTGGTCTGGATAGCGTGAGGCCGCGGTCTTAAAGATTTGCACCCAATTATCATCGTTAAGCCGCGGGGATGTTACCCAAACGGTCACAGTTTCTCTCGTTTCCAAAGACAGTTAGAACGTCGCGCGCGCAGCTTTAATACTGGATCGACGATCCTTTACGATCGTTACAGCCAGCTGCGCGGCTTTAACACAGGATCAGCGACCAAGACCGGCTGATTCAGTAACAAATGTACCGGTGCTGCTCGCACCGCCGGTCACGTCTTGTTCAACACACCAGCGAGATACTTTATCGCTGATAATTCGAAGCCGGCCTCGCTCAGGGACGCGCTCAACGCTCAACTACACACCATTTACATTCCCGTCATGATCACAAACGGATTTTATACGCCGGCTAACTAAATTCTGGCCGATCGCGTGCTGCTAGATGCACAGGTGACGCGCATCGCTTTAGGGTATGCGCGCCCGAACCGCCACTGACTACTAATTAGACGAGGACGCGTTCTGTTCGCGATCGCTTGTCTATTTTCACAAGTGAACGCGTTACGATCGCGGTAATTTGCCAACGTCGGGACAGCTACTCAAAAAAAGCTCTGTATTTAATCCGTTCGACGGCACTCGTACGGAATCAAAAGTTACCAAATTTATGACCCGTCATCGGCGTACGTCGACTACATGTACCAGGCAGGCCGATGCGCGCCGCGCCGATCAGCCACCCATCGCGAATCGCCGCCGAGCAAGGTGCGCTACGCGGAAATCGATGCTGCCATACTTAATCGGCCCTCGGAGCTTTTTTTCCCGGTTTGACGCCGCGGCACACCGTCGTTCTCCGTCGTTCTCTCGATCTACGACGAACGCCTGCCTCTTTTAAAAACCAGTGGCAGAACGGGAAAGTTTTCACGACTGATCGAGTTACCCGAGATCGTCAAGCTCCTTGTCGAACGAGACGATTCTTCTTTATTTCGACGTGTCATCGTGTCAGAGTTCTATATCCAGTTTGAAGAGAATTTTCAATACGGTTCATCCGAGTCTGTATAGTACACGTTATTGTACAATATCATCGTTAAGCGAGCTCTCAGCTCTCCGGTCCGGAAAGTTGAGAGTCACACAGATTGGACCGGTCACCGGTTTACTCTACTCGCGCGTATCGTCGCAACAGCAAGGAGACTCTCGGGCGAGCCGCTTCAGGAGCGAGCAAGGTGTAACGTCGAATCGATGTGCCATAATCGTCTCGACCGAGGTGTCTCTCGTTCAAGTCCCCGCGGCGGCATGGCGCGCGGCGTCAGCCGTGCTCCAGCCCACGAAACTGGTACTACTCGTACACCGTCGCCGTACCTGTGCTCACGCACTCCTTTTCTATACCGGGTGAGGCGTAGATCCTCACCCGACCCGACGTCCACAGTTTCGTTTGATGTAAGCTACATCGTTGAAATATTGCGATACCATTTGAAACTTTTCTTTCAAATTATTTTCCAGGCAAAATGGTTTCCGGCAACCTGCTCATTATTCTGAGATTATCACTGCTCGTCGCAGCATCGACGATGCCGGGGACATGGATGTGAGTATAATAAACGCATTAACAAACGCGGGACCGTTTTCAAAAAATAAGAATGAACAAAGGGAGAGGTAAATGCTCCGTGAAATTCGCGTCCTACACGGAATCACCTAATTACTCGAAGGAACGATGATCACGTGTGGGGTAATCGATAAATTAATACGTCGGGAAGAGAAAGGCGCGATTCGCTACCCCTAATCAAATGCCAAGGAAAAATTGCCCACGCAGCCGGTGTAATTTATAGCTCTTTGTATACGGCGAGACGAAATCGCCTCGTGGGAACACGATCGAAAGATTTTTCGTAACGTCTCTCTCTCTCTCTCTCTCTCTCTCTCTCTCTCTCTCGTCGTTCCCAAAGTCACCCCGCCGCCGTCCGTCGGCACGGTGTGTCCAATTCTGGAATCAGCTCACTCGCCCCCCAAGTCCTAAATCACACCCCTGCTTGCCCGTGACAAATCACTGAATGGTTCCGAGATCGCCTATAATCTTTCATCGAACGGAATTTTCGTCCTGACTCGAAGACCTACACGGTCCATTTTAATTGGATTTTCGTAAAGATCGTGCCGTTTCTCGGTTCGGCCGTTTCAATTCATGGGATAACGTCGACAGATGATCATTACTACCGCGATCTCTCTCTCTCTCTCTCTCTCTCGTCAGAGAGACGGCTTCCGCAGGATCACCATAAAAGTTAATCCTTTTTACGTGGGCTCGAGGACTCCTATCTACTCCGAGGTTCACTGTCGGGAACCTTTCCTTGAGTCGGACGAAACTTGCATCGTGCGAGTGAATTACTATTTTGTGCGTTGCAAATTAACTACTCTGCATCCAGACGAAAACGTGATAACACGGACAAAGGAGGAACGATAGAGGAATTGTCCAACAAAAATTAGTCCGCGCACACTTACTCGCTGCCCGTCGCTGCCCACTGGTATCCGTATATCCAAACGACCCTTTAAGTCACGAGCGAGGACCGGCGTCCAGATTAGATTCCGGCGATCACGCGTGCGTTTAACTCGAGGTTGATTCACGCCTGGACTGTTCCGTTGTTTGTTCGCGACGATATCGAGGACCGACCGGATTAAAGGGCATTCTGCAGTCATTTTTCTCGTCCCACGTTGCTCTTCCCGCGAGACTTGTAGACCTTGGACATTTCTTAAAGTCCACGGTTTCCAACAAACTTGCTAAATTCTCCAAAATCGTTTCCAATAAACAATTAGACCTTCTCGTTTCATCGATTCCTTGTTCCTAACTCGAAAACACCCGCTAGACGAAACCTTACGGCCGGTACAATCTTTTAAAAGAGACGGGGCATTACTTTTTGGGACGACACGAGACGCGACGGAACGCGCGGCCTACCAGTGCCCGATGAATTCGCGTGGGCAGAATCCTTCGAAATATTATCGTCCCCTTCCCATGATTCCACGCGTCATTGTTTTAGGGGAGAGTGCAATGCAAACCTGATAATATATCACGACCGTGTTCCGGAATATTAATGTACTCTATTATGCATACCCTAGCGTTGTACCACCGTGGCGTATCGGACATTAGGACGAAAAACCTTCATCTCTCGAACGGATACGATCGGCTTTTCTCGAATTTTCATTAGTTCAAGCTACACGATTTCTCTTCGCATTCATTTCGATCACATTCATTTAGAACATTTACTTTCTATTTGTCCGTTTTCTTCTTCGCGGATATTTATCAGCGATTACTCGAAACGCTTCCATCACGGATACAATCTCGAGCAACTTTCCCCCGCGATAAATAGAGAAACCGCAGTAAACAGCGTTCGTTCGTTCGTTCGTTCGTTCGTTCGTTCGTTGTGGGAATTTGTTTTGAAGCGCGCACGAGAAGAATCGATTCGTTTTGAGAATGGTCGAAAAAAAGACCCCCATCGATCGACGCGTTTCTATTATGTTTTAGAACAAGACCCAGTATTATCCGAACTGTAGAGCATTTCTCCTATTGTTTCCCACGCGTTGCTCCCATCGATTCTCTTTTATAGTAGTCGCGGAGCGATCGCCGATATTAGACCGTTCGAGTGTGAATTACCCGACCCGTCGCCCGTACGTACACGTATACTGTTCGTACCGACTGCTCGGCTGTGCGACCGTTTCGAATTTCAGATTGGTCTCGACCCCAACTTTTGTCCGTGTCGACGTTCCATCATCTAGCACGGTTGACTCGTAGCGAAGCGTGTATGCCATTAAAAGTCACCGAGTCAGGACCGTTTGCTTTTTCTCCCCGAACTTGTATACGTAATCCGCGTAACAAATGCGTTTATGCACCGCTCGCGTCTACCGAATAGGGAAAGGTCCTCGTCTAATCGACGAGGAACTGAGACGACGACGACAACGACGACCACGGTTGAATTCTCGTGAAAATTGTCGTTCGTTCGTTCATTCAGAATCCGGGTTTGTGAATCTCTCTTTTTACAGAAACGTCGGTCTGCAACACTTTCCACAGCTAGAGACCGCTCAGATGATAGAGACCTTCGACGTGGCAGCTTCCAATATTTGTCACGGGTTGAAAGGATTGTCGCAAGGTCAAGGGAAGCTGTGCCAGCTGTCCGTGGACCACATGCCGAGCGTGGCGAAGGGTGCCAAGCACGGGATTCTCGAATGTCAGCACCAGTTTCGCGATCGTAGATGGAACTGTTCCACGGTCTCCGACGAGTCCGTCTTCGGACCTCTGCTCAGAATAGGTAAACACGTTTACCAGCCAAGGAAAGATCGACGAGCATCCACGCGGTTCCATAGTAATCTTGTTCTGTTAATTCCGAATTATCATATAATCATCTCTCGTTTGATCCTCCATTGATAAGTAGCAAGTAGAGAAGCGGCGTTCGTGCACGCGATCACAGCTGCAGGGGTGGTGTACTCGATCAGCCGATCCTGCAGAGACGGACAATTATCCTCGTGCGGGTGCTCGAGGAGCAGCAGACCCCGAGATCTGAAGCGAGACTGGATCTGGGGTGGCTGCGGAGATAATCTCGAATACGGTTACAAGTAATTATACATATACGATCTCGGATATTCGAGACCAACGGGTATTCACAGACTTCCGTTTCGTTTCAGATTCACGCAAGCGTTCGTCGACGTGAAGGAAAAGGAACGCAGCTACAAGAGAGGCAGCAGGGAACAAGGCAGGAGCCTGATGAATCTTCATAATAACGAAGCCGGCCGCAGGGTAACGATTGCTTGCTAAACGATTGACGATAATTCGAGATCATCTTGTTTTAACGATTGTACATATTTTCGAAAGGCTGTTATTAAACGATCGAAAGTAACGTGCAAGTGCCACGGTGTTTCTGGGAGTTGCAGCCTGATCACTTGCTGGCAGCAACTCGCTTCGTTCCGAGAAATTGGTAACTTGACGTCCCGATGATGTTCCGTTGCTGTTCCGTTGCTACCGGTCTATCTTATATACAACATAATGATGCATCATGTCTTTACAGGAGATTTTCTCTTGGACAAATACGATGGCGCAACCGAAGTCAGAGTAAACAGACGCGGTCGTCTCTCTATGCGAGATCCAAGATTCTCGTTGCCTACTGCCAACGATCTAGTTTACTTGGACGACTCCCCGAATTACTGTCTCCCTAACGAGACTCTTGGCTCGTTAGGTAATCGGCTGTGTTTCTTTAAGTCGTTAAGAGTCTCTCCATCTTATTCTTTTACTTCGAAGACTTTCAAATAACACGATACCAGTTCTGGTTTCATACACATACGTTATCTGTTGATACGTCTAGGTACGAACGGCAGAGTTTGTAACAGGACGTCGTCCGGCATGGACGGATGTAATCTTCTTTGCTGCGGTAGAGGATACAATACACAGAAATCAACGGTGAAGGAAAGATGCGAGTGTAAATTTCACTGGTGTTGCTACGTCGAATGTAAGACTTGTGTTAAAAGCATAGACGTTCATACTTGCAAATAAAACTGGACCTCTCAATCGTGCCGAACGTACCACTTGTCATACAATTCTGTTCGTGTGTGTGTGTGTGTGTGTGTGTACTCTCTTCTCAACATTCCTCCACGTGCGTCGAACACTTTATAACGGCTGTACTCTATTAAATAATTTATCAATATTCTCTTTTGAACATTTTCTCCAACTGTCAAAATGTGGTAAACCAGTAATAGAGGTAACAGCTAAAACTAAATTCTGCATAGCAGCTATATTTCATTTCCGCTCAACTGTTATTGTAACAACTATTATAGATGTACACCTTAGATCGTTGACATTAACATTTGCATAATTAAAAACTATAATTATTTATTCTCATCTTTGTAATGTAACGTGTACAAATTTGCCGATTCAAATGGATCAGCTTGATCAATAAACAGAATAATGCGAACAACCGACCATTTTTTTTCTTATTACACTCCACTTACCTAGCTGTTATTCTTACGTAAAGTACAAATTATTCGTGGGATTCCCAAGGTTTTTCATGCCGATATCTGTACGTTGGATTTGGATCTGTATATACCGTTGGCTCCTCCAAGGTGATGCCATTCTCTGACAGTACGTTCACCAAGGATTGCGTCTTCTTTCCAGTTATCATTGATTCATCGACAAAAATTTCCGATATACCACACTCCAAGCAACGCCGTGCGAGCATGTGTCCCACGAACCTATACGCGGTCGCATCGTTCGTACTAAACGAAAGTACAAAACAATTAACTTTCCCCTTGTTTATAACAATCCGATCAGATACACGATACGTACGAACTCACCTATATAATTGAGTTTTTAATCCCCATTCCTTACTCGACACCGTGATGATTGGACCGTTCTCGAAATGAACTATTTCCGCTGTTACGAACCGCTGAGTAGGCACCACGTTTAATCTACGCACAAATGGAACATTTCTATAGAGAATAGGAAATCTGTGAAGAGAAACTATGGTGCAACGTAAAAACAGTACAAATTACTTGTGCCAGAATGAGAACCCTGGTTTCTCGAGCTCGTAACCTACAGGCTTCCTCGCGATCCTTAACCGTTCTAAATTTCGTGGATTACGATTTCTGATTTCTTTACAATTCTTTACTATTTCCGCATTCTTATGCACTTGTCTCTTGATGAATGAATTACTGATAAATCGAGACATGATAAAGTTCGTTTCACTCTAACACGCGTGGTACGCGTCGCAGGTCGCAGCGACGGCGGGCAGGTCAGAGCAGGCGCCGACGATGACGATGACGATGGACGGTCATTTGGGGTGCTTGGGAGTCGTTGGGAATTCCATCATTGCACCAGAGAGAAAGCAGAGAAAATCTCTGTGATCGCACCATTCGCATCTTTAATTGTACATACGTGTATATATACAAGTCAAAGATTCGGATTCGCAAGTTTCGCAACATCCACGATCTACGGCAAACGCGGCAAACCCCCATATGGACAGATATCATAATGGTGGTGGGACGTGGGATTTTTCAGCCATGCGCATTACAGTAGGTGGTGTATGAATGTACAAAGTAGCATTATAATTGATTATAATAACGTATTTACTTTGTTCAATATAAAGGTATAATCCAAGGTGCCGTTGTTTCATACACGAGAGAAGTTTTCATTTTGTATAAATTTATTCAATTATTAATTTAATACAATTTAATCAACCAATCATTTAAATTACATAATTAACAAGTAAATATATTTGTTCACGTGTACAATATGAGAAACAAATAAGTGGAAATAGAAAGGTTCGATAGAGAAAAGCGCTCGAAGAATTTTCTCTGGTAAAATTCATTTCGCGATTTTGAATCGCCATCGTCCACGAGACAATGTTTGCGGAAAATCGGAAGAAAATTTATGGTTTCAAAAATAAAGGTCCAGGACAGTACAATGTGCGACACTGGATTTTAATTTTACTACACTCTTTAGGAGAGTAATAAACTAGATATCGAAAAAACAGAAAACGGAAAAATGTTAAAGTATAAATTGGTCAACACTCGTAAATTTCATGTGGTACGAAGGAAGATTAAAAGGAGTCGCATCGAACGATTCAGTCGATATTTATAATTCATCAGGACTAAGAATTATGTACATGGTAAATGAATCGGTAAGCAATCGGATGGATATTCTTTGTACACAGAGAAAAATTTTGGTAAAATTTCAGCTCTTCAAACCCTTGACAAGTTTCAACGTGATTTGAGTACGCGATTTGAGCGATCTGCAACTCTGAGCCAGGCTCTCTTGTCCGTGTTTAAGTATAGTAGCAGATACGTCATCCTCGTCGTTACCAAGTCCCGTGTGTAACTGATACTTTTCGAATTCGGTCAACACCGAGTCCAAGTTTTGAACTCTCTCCTCGAGCAAGATCGCGATCTCTTTCCAATTCTGTTGACAAACGATGAGAATAGAACAGAGAGAACAAGTGTTTAGAGAAGGGGGAGAGATTCGATCAAACTATCGACTGAGAACAAATGGGAACCATGGACTCACATGATCGTTATCGTTGAACGAAAGATCCGTCGATTGATTACATTTCTTTTTGCTCTTTTTCCGCGACGTCTTCGGTTGGGATTGCGTCGCGCACAAAGTACATATGGCACCAATGATCGCGAGAGACTCGCTACACGTGGACGCTCTTAGTAGGAAATGTTTGAAAGACATCGGAACATTTTTCTCGGGTATGTCTATTGTCCGAAGGCATGGGGACGTTTGCAACGTTTGGATACACTCGAAATCGGGATAACGCGATTGCGCGACCGATTCCGCTAGCCTGGCGATCGTTTTCAATTGCTTCGAATCGTGCGCCTCGCGCAATCTTTCGACTCCGTCCATAGGAACTAACATTTTACACGGTCTGTTCTTCTTTCCTTCCGATTCGAATTTCTGTAGAACCGCAGGGATCTGTTCGTTGTCCAGCTGCTTCAACTCGTCGGAGAATCGAACGAGAAGAGAGGAACTGTCGGGCGCTACGCAGGCAGCTAAAATTTTTAACATCAGATCTCTGGCTGTGAGCAATTTCAACATGCATAGCCGTGTCTCTTCTTGCATTCTGGGGTTCTCCAATGGGTTCTCGGTAGACGGTTCCCACCCAGGGACAACCTGTTTGTGTGAAAATGCAAAACTGAAGTAAGTCGGTCGACCGAGATCGACTTTTAGCAGTAAGTAAGTAGGTAAGCGCGTAGATCGTAGAGAACAGGTTTACCTCCAGATCACGATTATCACGCAGACAATTCAATCTGATCGAACTCTCGATCAACTGTATGTCCATGTTGGCTAACGTCGAGATCAAAGACGTGGAACTGCTACATAAACTTAATTCGAGAACCATCTTATCTATAGTGGTCATGACAAAGTGAAATGAATTTTCCAAACGCTCTTTCAACTCGACAAATTCTTGAATTTTCACGAAGCTTCCGTACTTGTAGGCAAACGTCAAATGGTCCGCACTCTATGATCACACGATAGACAGATTAATTCGATCGGGTTCTCTAAACGTCTACAAGTTTATGATGATACAGATACGATCGTTACGTACATCTTTATAGTTTGCCACAAAAAATTTAGTCGTATGATCCAAAGTTATACAAGCAAACGAGAGATGACCGAGCGGGGCAAGTAGGGGTACGTGCAAATAACCCAGAGAATCTAGTTGAATGTGTTTAACGTCCAACAAGGTGAAAACACGATCCGCTGCGCCTACCAATCCTGCCTCCAGATAGACACGTACTAGTAAGATCTTGATATAAAAATTTGCGAGGCTCGATAATAAGCCACGTTCCAACAGTGCCATGGCCCTGTATAAAGATACGTAGGTACATGGACAGACAGGTAGAGATGATCATCGGGTTGGCCGGTAATTCGTCGATATGATCGAAACGAAATAGATGATACCTGTAAAGGTAAGCTGCGTCGTTCGTGTTGCGCCACAATTCGTGTAGTAAATGCGTTGCCAAAAGAATGTAAGAATCCGCGGGACAAAAGTCTGTTGGTAGTCTGTCTTGTATCGGACACAGTTCGTTACCCATTTTATACAATTTACACAACCGTTCCACCAATGCTCTCTGTTTGTTCGCATCGGCATGTGGCGGATGATGAAGACCGCAGATGCGACGCAACTGCTCCAAGTGAATGTGTCTCTGCATTTGTTTCACGGTAGTCGGATACTCGTCGGGTTTAACGGCGACGTCCACCTCTATCTACGATAGACGATTGAGCGTATCGAATAAAACAACAAATATCGTTCGTCTCGACGGATCGACGATTCCCTCGCATCATTACGAGACCACTTACTTTCTGTAACAACTGTTGCTTCCCTGCAGGTGTCAACAAATTCAGGTAAATACGTAAATCTCCCACCACGCAGCTCTTTTCTCCGAACTGTGAGAAATACTGATGCATCAGGTCGATCGGTTCGATCACTTGCCCGTCTCGCGTACGTTTCAACAGTTCGAACTTTGCCAGGTAAGGGGCTCGAAATTTTTTCTCGGTCGAGCTTATCATCTCGTTCAAGAAATTTAGACACTCTTCCGGCTTTTGAAACTTGAGAGCCGCGTCGAGATAATCTTGATAGTGTTGCCAATTGTCGACGCTGTTCGATGTACAAATAACGTGTTGACATTAGAATGTCCTCTACGCGCTCGCCGCTCACACGCTCACCTCTCGTTGATCAGTCGTTTGTAAGTGTCAGCCGCTTCGTTGAAATGTTCTAATTTCAGTAAAACCGCAGCTTTACGTTGTGAAATCGACGAGAGATACGAAGCTAACGGTCCAGATAAAACGTTCAACATCTCTTCATCTTTGTTTTGAAGCTCCAGTATCATTAAGTAAAGCTGTACTTCCTGTTCCACTTCCATTTTTCCCTCTTTAATCAATTTCAGTACCTATCATCATCATCATCATCATCATCATCATCATCATCACCACCATCACCACCACCATCATCATTATCATCATCATCATCATCATCATCAGCATCATCGTCACGTTAATTCGTACGATGCGTAAGCTGTTGGTAAAACGATTTATAGAGCAGTCAACTAAATCAAAGATCATTTACAAACCATTCTTTCTGCTAACGGCAAAGTGACTCCTTTCGCTAACTTTTCATCCGAGTGTATAGCTTGCATCACTATACTCATCACAGCCCAGAAATAGTAAGGATTTTTTGGTTTCAATTTGTACAGGGCAAGCGCCGTTTGCTGCTGCTTCTTGTAATCTCCCAGGCGAACGTATGACATGAAAAGATGCGTCAATAATTCTTCGTTGTTAGGATCCACTTTTGCAGCAGCTTCGTACACTTGGCTTATTTTGTCAGCTGCGCGATGTTAAGAACAACTCGTGTTAAGAACAACATTTTATACCAATCGACGGAAACCAAACTGAATAACTTACGTTGATGTCTTTCCCTGTAACAAATGCTCATCACCTGTAGAGTACAATCTTCCCTAGGTATCTCCGATCTGACCTCATCCATAATAGTTTCGCATTCGTTCTTCTTACCGAGCCTGAGCAGGGCCAGGGCCTTGAGCACTCTGGCACATTGATTGCTCGGCTGTTTCTTAAGCACTTTATCGGCTTCCTGGAGAGCTTTCTTGTTATTTCCATTGTCCAACCAGTCTGAAATTCATAATGTAACGGTGTTACATAACCTTCCCTTACCGGTCGGCCAGGAAAACACGTTCGCTCAAAATTTGAAAAACGAACCTATCCTGACACATACAAATACCAATAATATACTTGCCATATATCGGACGTAAACGGCGTTCATTAACGGTATTATCTACACGGGTCTTGGGCGCCATTATACTTTTTTACGATACTTTTAAATCAACAATCCAACTTTTCTTTTCTTCCCTCTGCATGCTCGTACTTATTGGTACTTATCACGGCAAGGCATATTTACATTGATTTCTTAGTCTCGACACTCTCGACTCTAGTCGAGTATCGACACTTTCGACTCGACGTCTCGACCACAGCCTTAAAATCTCGACGACAGATGACGACACTGACGACAGGTAGTAGTGGTAGGTCCGTAGGTGTAGCCACTCACTACGCTCACTTGCACTAAGTATTATTACTGATTATTGCTGACTATTATTTACTATTATTATACATAGTCAAAGATACGAACAAGGAGTAGTAAAGTTGTCCGATTTAACGAGTTTAAATAATATACGATGAACGGTAATAATAATAATAATAATAAGAATAATACGAAAGTACGAGTGCCGATTTTGCTTAACCTTCAACAGTGTTAATTATAAATTAGACGAATAAAATGAGGTACGCGCAACTGGTAATGGGACCAGCAGGCAGCGGGAAGGTATTACGTTTTTCCCAAACTGAAAAGATGTATTCAACCATAATATGCCGATTAACTCGTTTTAGTCTACATATTGCTCTGTGATGCAACAACATGCAGCGGCCGAGAGGAAAGTAATTGACGTAGTGAATTTGGACCCAGCAGCAGAGTTCTTCGATTACGAGCCACTGATCGATATACGAGAGTTGATCCAATTAGACGATGCTATGGAAGACGAAGAATTACGATTTGGCCCAAATGGTGGTCTCGTATTTTGCATGGAGTAAGTTTGCATAGGTTAAGGAATTTATGTAGGTCTTTGCTTGACGACAAACTGAACGATTTTATTTACAGGTATTTAACAGAGAACTCGTCATGGCTAGAAGAGAAGCTGGACGACGTGGACGATGATTACATCATCTTTGACTGTCCAGGACAGATCGAACTGTACACACATATGACGGTCATTCGCCGATTGATAACGATGTTACAGAATCTGAATTTTCGTATCTGCGGAGTATTCCTGGTAGACAGTCAATTCATGGTCGATGGATCTAAATTTTTGTCTGGTACAATGGCAGCGCTCAGCGTGATGATCAATCTAGAATTACCACACGTGAACATCCTCAGTAAAATGGATTTATTGTCGAAAAGCTCAAGAAGGCAATTGGACAAGTACTTGGAACCTGATCCACACAGTTTGCTGGCAGACATGGGAAAGGATCCTTGGAACGAGAAGTATAAGAATCTGACGGAAGCGATAGGCAGACTCATAGAGGATTACAGCTTGGTGCGGTTCTATCCGTTAAATATAAAGGACGAGGAGAGTATCGCAGATATTAAACTGACGATCGATAACATCGTTCAATACGGAGAGGATGCCGATGTGAAAATCCGAGATTTCGATGAACCCACCGATGACGTCGATGACACAAACACGAAATAAACCATGGCGGAGACAGCACGTGAAGACGGACGTACCTAATAAATTATTTTTACGAAACGTTACTAGCTCGAGTTTCTTCTCTTTTTAATAAAACACCTACCGATGGAAGCAAGATAAAATAAAAAAAGTTTATTTCGTTAATTTAATCGTTACCTTACGAAAATATCTGTACACGGAAATAATGCGGTATACATATATG